AAGCCAAAGCCAAAGCCAAAGCCAAAGCCAAAGCCAAAGCCAAGCCAAAGCCCACAGAAGGAAACGTAGAAGAAAATTTAAATATTCCATGAATTCTTACCCAGCAAATTGGCCTCCACATTTGGATCAGTTTCACCGTAGACAGGTCCCTTTGTGGCATTCAGGGGCTCTGTCTCTGCAACTACCGGTTGGAAATCCACAGGTTTTTCCTTTAAACGCCCCTGAAGCAAGGAAATACGTATAATCTCAAAATGGGGGAAAGAGGCTTGACAGGTCAAACGTATTTTGATTTTTCTACCAAAAAGAGAGAGCCCCCTGCAAGCAGTTCTTTGTTCTCTTGAGGGTCTTCCAAGATCAGCGAGACTCAGCAGAGAGGCCAACCCCGGCATTAACACATTTCTTAGAAATGTTTCCTGTGATCTGCAGCACACTCACCATCTGTGCATATAAATGTAATAGATAGATAGAAAATATTGCCCTTGAAGGTCTGGAATTATACATAGTACCAGTAATAACTGAAAACGTGGTTTAGGGTAAAAGATCTCAGCTGCTACACTTTGGAAGATTAACCGTACCAAGTTGTTTGGAACCAGTGAATTAGACCTGTTCAACAAACCAGTTACACAACTGACAAAAGCTACACCTAACCATTTGGACACATTAACTCTGCTCAAAATTCAAAGGGACAGCCTTAACCTACAGTGCAGAGGTTAAGTCAACACATTTGACACAACAGGGGTGTCAAACTCAAGGCCTGGGGGCTGGATCCGGCCCGGGTGTGTGTGTTTAGATTTGGCCCACAGGGCCGCCCTGGGAACAGCGAAGGTCTGGCCAATGGTGCCTCTGCCAGCAAAAATGGAGCTTGGGAGGGCTGCAGGTGGCACTACTGAGCTCCATTTTCATTGGCAGAGGGTTGCAGGAAGTCACTGCAGCAGAAAACGGAGCTCAGGAGCCACAGCTTGGGATGCCACAGGTACCCCTGACATGAGTGACATCGAGCTGGCAATGCCCAGCCTAACCATACCCACTCTGGCTCACTGAGGTCAAACACAATCCTGATCTGGTCTGCAATGAAATTGAGTTTGACACCCCTGATCTAGAGAGAAGATTATCTAGTTTAAAAATAGGCTGCTAAGAATATATTTAATAAAGGTCATCCTTGTAGGCTACTTTGGGAAGAAATGGCATTAGCTGGTTCTTTTCCTCACAAATTGGAGAAATGTCTAAAAGAACATATTTTTAGTTCATTATCAGTTTGATTGATGCATCAAATGGCACAGTAATTTCAGGTGTTTGTATGTTAGGATTTTTAAAAAATAGCAAAAAATTTAAAAAATACAGGAAAGAAAAATCAAAGAACAATACAGCTAGTCCTCAACTTTACAATAGTTTGTTTAGTGACTTAAGTTATAACAGCACCCCAAAAGTGACTTGTGACTGTTTTTCACACTTATGACTGTTACAGTATTTTCACAGTCATGTGATTAAAATTTGGATGCTTGGCAACTGGTTCATATTTATGACGAGTGCAGTGTCCTGGAGTCATGTGATCCCCTTTGGCCTCCTGAAGCAACGTCAATGGGGAAGTGGATCTACTGAACAACCAGGTTACTAACATAATAATTGCAGTGATCCACTTAACCACCATGGCAAGGAAGGTCATAAAATGGGACAAAACTCATTTGTCTCACTTAGCAATAGAAATGTTGGGCACAATTGTGGTCATAAGCTGAGGACAACCTATACAAGCAACCAATTTGGGAAAAGATAGCATCTTTATCTCAGTATAAAAAAAACTGAAAAGACTATTAGAGAACTGAAGGGATGACATCCCTTTACTGACCCACTGTCTGCTTTGTGAAAAAGCATCTCTCTAGTCTAGAGTAGTTTTTTTCCCTAACTTGGCAACTTCAAAGTGGACTTCAACTCCCAGACTTCCCCAGCCATCCTTGGCAGCATTTCTGGGAGTTGAAGTCCACACATCTTAAAGCTGTCAAGGTCGAGAAACACTGTTCAGATGGCCCTGGTTGAAGGACCAGGCTGTTCCCACCCACCTCCGGTGTTGGAGCCATGGAGCAAATTCTACTAGTTAATTGTTTTGCGGGGTGTTTTTTTTTTGTATAATTGGAATGATTTTTGACCTCAGACATGTGGATTGTTGATTTTTCTTGTTGGTTTTAATCATTGCTGTTAGATGGGGAGCCATATGAATCATTTAAATGAAAAATATCACTGCCTCTTACCCCAAGGCATGCTAAAAGAACTAACATTTTTAAGCTTTGCCAAGGTTCGGCAGGATCAGGACTCTCTGGACCAGATGAAGAATGCTGTTACGCAAGGCTGACCCAGCTAAAAGGGAAACACATTTGTGAAGTCTCATAAAATGTCAATCCTTTACTGCTGAGATCTGGAGCATTTAAACTCTACCAGATCTAAACCTTGGGCAGAAATTAAAGGAGCAAAGCATTCCAATAAGTAATCCGCTCTTTGTAACAATTAAAAATGTAAATATAAAAATACAATTTACTACTGATAATAGTAACCATGTTGTGGTAGAGTTGTCTATTAATCTTCTCATCGTTCCTATCACCCATCTCCTCCCACTTATGACGGTATGACTGTAACCTTGTTGCTTGTATCCTTACAGTTCATATTGATTGTTTCCTAGAAGGATTTGATTGCTTATTTGTACCCTATGACTATCATTAAGTGTTGTACCTTATGATTCTTGACAAATGTATCTTGTCTTTTTATGTACCCTGAGAGCATATGCACCAAAGACAAATCCCTTGTGAGTACAATCATATTTGGCCAATAAAGAATTCTATTCTACTCTAAATTTTAACCTTGTTTTTTCATGTTGCTTTTAGTCATGTTTTATAATATTATCGTTGGTCAGAGTCACTTAGAAGAGATGGGTGCAGAAATCTGATACTTGCTTTGATTTTTATCCCACTTTTGTTATGGTACTTTACAAGTAAGTCAAGGTGATGAATTTACATCCAACTCCTTCCTCCTACTTTCTCCGCAAAAGCATCACTGTGAAGGGGTTGGGCTGAGAGAGTAACTAGCCCAAAAATCATCCAGCTGCCTTTTGTGCCTAAGGCAGGAGTCTACTGGTATCTAGGCCAGCACCTTATCACTACATCACACACTAAATAAATAAACTTGAGGCTCTGGATAGTAAAACCCACCTGAGAAGTCCTGGTTTTGGCCCGCTGTTGACTCATCAGGAAGTCCTCCACCAGGGCCACCGCCTGGGAACACGACTCCGGCCTCCTGGCTTGGATCCAACTCCGGAGCTCCGGTGGGAGGCTGGCCAGGAACTGCTCCAGGATAAGCAGCTCCAGGATCTGCTCCTTGGTGCGTCCCTCCGGCTTCAGCCACTGGCGGCAAAGATCCTGGAGTTGGCTGTGGATCCTCCGGGGATCCTCTACCACTTGGCAGCAGAATTGCCGAAAGTGCTGTCGCTGCCTCTCCGTTCTCAGGGCTTCCCCCCGTAAGATGGCGGCCTTCACTTTCTCATAGTTTTCCTGGTCTCTGGCTTCCAGGCCTCGGAAGGCCTCTTCTGCCTCTCCGCTCAGGGCCGGCAGGAGATGGGCTGCCCACTGGTCCCGAGGCCATCGGCAAGCTTTGGCCACTTGCTCAAAGGAGGCCAGGAAAACTATGAGAAAGTGAAGGCCGCCATCTTACGGGGGGAAGCCCTGAGAACGGAGAGGCAGCGACAGCACTTTCGGCAATTCTGCTGCCAAGTGGTAGAGGATCCCCGAAG